CTAGTATAATTTCCTCATAAAGGTTCTCTAACCAGCTGGTGTTAAAGGATACCTCATTCTGTCTGCTCTGGACAATATTCTCAATCTATTGATAGAGACAGACAAAGGAATAATGGTGTTTATGATGTACGTAATGTATACGTATTCTTCAAGGATTAATGTACAGTTAAACAGTTGATCGTTCAATGGGCTACAGTACACTGTACATGTACATGTACATGTACATGTACATGTAATATTTAAATTGTACAATAGTTGTATTTCAATATTTCAGGATAGCATTGTATATTAATTAATGTATAAAAAAGCAACATACATGTACATACAAGTACGTGTACATGTAATTAATTTATTTATAATTAAATATTAATTTACCAGTAAATTTTGGTCTTTCTTTCCAAGCTTGACTGCTCTCTCCAACTACACAAAACATTATCAATAAAATGACCACACCCACTGCCCCACCCACCACTCACTGTCACAATCTTAGCCAGCACAGCATCAATGTTACCATAATTTAACGAAAAAACTAATCGCCTTTCCTTCTAAAGGAGGTGTGGTTTTAATAATTAGTTAATTAATGGCTCCGCCTACTTTAACGAAACTGAAAGGTGCCATGATGTTTCGCTCTAACATTTCAGTTGATTGAGTAGCGACCAGAAGGAACGAGTTATCAGAAATACTGAGAGAAGAGGAGGAGGAGGAGGAGGAGGTAAGGGGAAAAGGAAAAGAGAGAGAATGTTAATACAGTATATGTACATGTAACTGATTGATAATACACTTAATGTACCGTATAGCTGGTTTATTTCGTGGCCTCAAATTTTTGCTGCTTAAATTTTCATTAGAATTAATTTTAGTGCCTTGCTAAATTTTTTTTAATATTTAATTGGTTTTAATAAAATTTAGTGGAATTAATTTTAGTGGATTTGAGCCTGCACGAAAATTAATTCCACACAAAATAAACCAGCTATACGGTATTAGATAATAATTGTATAGAAATTATCAGTAAAAATGGCTGTAACTCGAAAAATTGAAGTCGAAATCAACTCAAACTTTCTACACAGTATAAAGACGAAAGTATGAGCAAAGGGTGAGGGAAGTAGAGCATTCCTCCTTCACTCCCCTTATTTTCTCCACCTCGGGCGGCTGTAGCCCCCTCACCACCTCCTTCCTCAAGAGACTCTCTCTCCTCTACACTGACAAATTTAACAGACCCTACCACTCAACAATGAATTTCATTCGCTGCCAATATTCATTCACTATCCTTCGGTCTGCAATTCGCTGTATAAGGGGTACCCGGCATCGTGGCAAAGTAGTTGACTATTCAGATTTTGACAGAGCGGCCTCTGATGCCCACATTGGTATTTCTTAGATTTATTCCTTTTTTAAATTTTTATTCTATTATTATTATTATCATTATCATTATTATTATCAATATTATTATTATTATTATTATTA